AAAACTCACCAGTTACTCCTTACCCTCTTTTCGGGAAGTGGTTGGTGTCTTAGCAATTCCAAGATGATGACTGGTGGTACGGGTTTTCATCCTTTTAAACTATGAGAAGCGCAGTGAGACTAATTCTCATTTACCCTGGCAATAGTTTGCAAGTAACAACATGTTGTCTTAGTACCTTTATGAGAGCATGTAGATACCTCCTCAGAGGAGACTGCCAAAAGTCTTTTTCATCTCGATGTAGAACACGAGCTTTAGGCGAAGGGGGATTGGAACGAGACAAAACAGCGATACCGGGTGTGTGGTCAAACGTCGATTATGTGTTTGCTTTTGCTCCACATTCATTTGACTGTTTGCCAATAAAGGATTCAGGGATTGTTGTTAGAAATCGAAGGTGGACTTCGAGGGTAAAAGTGACCCTCCAGAGACCTGACATGCCCCAAATGTCAGTGAGATGATCCCACGCAATGCTCCACCCTTGCTTCACTTTAATTTTCCCTCTAAGTGCTGCTTTGAAGCTTCCAGAAGTTGCTGGTTGTTGGCTGTTTCCACAGTGGAATTTTTTTTTCAAAAACTTTGTCTCTGTTGTTTCCTGATCAGGAGCAACGTGTTAAGTCCGTGATGATTGGCAGACTGTCTCCTGGAGACTCGTTTGGTGAGATAACAGTCCTGAAAGGCTTCCTAATGCCATGCTCAGTGGTTACAGACACTCCTGTACAAATGGGAACGATTTCTACGCTTGACGTCCATGGTACGTATTTTGATACTTTACTTTTCCTCGTTGGGGACTCAGGCCTTTTTTTTTTTTTTATTTTTTTATTTTGTCCCACGCCCGTGACAAGCGTATAATATCTTTCCTCATTCGAAGAGCGAGCGCAGAATTTACGATGTTTGTTATTCTGATACCAACCACTGCTAAATCGTTCTCTTTTAGAATTGGATGACGTCACCAGGTCTCTTCTCTCTCAGTCCTATTCAGTGATGGATGGTAATTTAACAGAGGTAGCGTACACTTAAATAAGATATCTTTTCGTTGATGAAATCTGTGTGTCCTTTCAACGAGAACATGTATCAGTCAGTCTAAATAAATGACTCGACATAAATGAATCATTACATTTCAGGACGAGATACAAAAAGAGTATATCGAACAGGAGAAAGAAAAAGACTGGGTCAGGTTTAAGGTGGGAAGAATTATAATTGCAAATTAGTTTGGTATTCTACGATCTTATACCCCCTGGCCAAAACTTTTTGACATCTGATTGGTTCCTGACTGAAATAAAAAACGAAACAAGTGGTCGAAAACGAGTTTGTGGTGGGGCTTTTGGTTGATGGCGCTTATGACCATGTTCATATTGGCGTCATCGGCTTGGGTCTTGTTACCAATGCAAAATCGCTTTTGGAAATTGCAGTTTAACGCACTTTTGACTTTTTGTATTTTATTCAACTAAAATATCCAGGGTTGCACCTTAGAAAAAAAGATCATGGCATGAAACGGTAGACTTTGCAAGAACTCAGGGTTTATACATAATACGTAGGCTAGCTAATCTTGGCTCCTAAGATTGTCTTTGCTGTCGTTTTGCATATTTTGCCTCCCCAAAAGTGAATATTCCTTGGAAAGGATTGAAATTTTGACAGACTCTTTTTTTCTGTGTGTGTGCAGAACAAAGTGGTTGGCAATGTGCTACATCACAGAGGCATTCTTCCCGGTTACAGTAAATGGAGCAGAAATCCCTCGCCTTCAGAGGTGTCTGAGAAATGAACAAAATTAGTGATCACGTGTCGATTGAACGTCACTACTTGAACTCTCTTTGAGCATCAGGCCCCGGTTGTTCGAAGGTTGGATAACGCTACAAATAATAAATATCCGGTTGGATAACGCTATCGAATAAATCTTTATCCGGTTGATACCGGTTTTGCTATCACTGATCCACTGGAGAGTGATTTATCCGTTGGATAGCGTTATCCAAATAAATAAATATCCGGATGGATAA